TGCAGTGGGTCCCATGTAGAGTCTGGGTTGTACTGAGAATGTGGCCTTTATTCCCATGACACCCTTGTTCAATCAGCTTCAATGGGAGCTGTAGCTCAAGATTTAATCAGTCTTCAGGTCAGATCCTTACTTCTCAGCATGATCACCGGTCTCATTTGCTCAAGCAACAGTTTGACTTTATATTTATCACACATAATTCTAAGCTTTAGAACAGTTACTTTGTGGTAAGTATCACTGTTCCCAAACTTAGAATTAGATGTGATAAATATAAAGTGTTCAGACTCAGCACTTATGAATTTCTAGATAAATTGCTGAGTATACTATTAAGTTCTCACTCCTGGTTTTTCTATAATATGTACACAGAATAAATGCAACTTAAGATATCTGAAAATAAAATGCTGCTCGCTGCTTAGACTTCTGCAGCCCTTCATGTCATCAAAGCCACTTTTTCTGAGGTTACCAGTGACTCTTTAATTGCTAAACCCACTAGAAGTCATTCTATTCAACTTCTGTCACATCTGACATTGTTGATCACTGCTGCCCTTATGAGACTTTCATCTTTTTATGGCTTCTTTGACACTACTGTCTCCTAATTATGGAGCTGCCCCTCTGGCCATACCCCAGCCTCCTTCTTTGTTGCATCATCTTTATCGGACTCATACCAGGAAACTCCCTTGGACCCCTTTCCATTTCAGTGTATGCTCCCTCCCTAGGCAGATTTATCAGGACTTACTTTTCACTTAAATATGAATGGCTCCCTAGTCTTCAGCTCTTCTGTCTCTTTCCAGAGCCCTAGACCATATTGCCAATCGGGAGTATTGCATGTTTCATAGATTCCTATCTATTTAACACAACCAGGAAGGCTCCAAACCTGCCCTCTGCTTCCATTCCTTATCTCAGTTCATGGCAACATCATCCATTTACTCACTAGAGTTACAATCACACGTTATACCTCCTTCTGTCCATTAGTATGTCTGGCAACAATAGTCAGCATAATGTAGTGGCCAAGAAAGAACAAGGACTCTGGAATTGGACTGCCATGGTTCAAACCCAGCTCTACCATTTACTAGCTGGGTGATTTAGAGCAAGATTCTCCTTCTTCTTCTTCTTCTTCTTCTTCTTCTTCTTCTTCTTCTTCTTCTTCTTCTACTTCTTCTTTTTCTTCTTCTTTTTAATGCTTTTTTATTTTGAAAGACAGAGAGAAAGAGAAAGAATCCCAAGCAAGCCCCAATATGGGGCTTGAACTCACAAACCATGAGATCACGACCTGAGCCAAAATTAAGAATTGGACGCTCAAGTGACTGAGCCACCTTGGCACCTCTGAACAATATTCTTAAGTACTCAGTCTCAGTTTACTCATCTGTAAAAAGAGGATAATGACAGTGGTTACCTCCTGGGTTCCTTGTGAGGACTAAATGACTTTGTATTTGTGAAGTATTTAAAATAGCATCTGGCACAGAGTGCTATATAGTTCTTTGTTACTAACTTGGTCTCTGATTTGTCCTCATTCTACTCCATCCTTCATATGGCTGACAGGCTTTTGAGGGGCTGCTGATTATTGAATGATCAACCAGTCATTGTGCTAAGCACTTTATGTGCAGATCTCATTTAATCCCCAAAACAACCTGTTATGGAGGTGTTATTATCCTCATTTGAGGGATGAAGAAACTGAGGCATTAGGAGCTAATGTACTTTGCCCAAGGTCACGCCTATTAAAAATGCCAGAATTGGGGGGCCTGGGGGCTCAGTTGGTTAAGTGTCTGACTCTTGGTTTCAGTTCAGGTCATGATCTCACGGTTAGTGAGGGCTCTGCGCTGACAGCACAGAGCCTGCTTGGGATTCTCTCTCTTTCTCTCTCTCTCTCCCTCTCTCAAAATAAATAAATAAACATTTAAAAAGTATCAGAGTTGGGATTTTGATTTAGGTCTATTTCCTGAGCTAGTGTTCTATACTAGGAATCTGCCACTGCTTTCCTAAGCCTCAGCTAGTCACTTAACTGCTTCAACATCTTCAAAGCCCCCATACGGCCTGTGCTGTCATGATATATTCCTTCACAGTCTTGTTCCAACTTAATTTTATTTCCTGCCACTTCCTTCCATGAAAATTGCCCTTTCCTTCCTCTTCTGCCTCTCTCTTCCTTGTTACTTCCCTTCTTTCTTTTCTTTGTCCTCTAACATTTATGGAATACTTAAATGCCAGGTGCCATGCTAAGCTGGAGATAACAAGAGAAATGAACAATTTGTCTTCAAGGAGTTCATAGTCTGACACAAATTACCATTGACTATACTGAGAGGGGATTGCACCAGGGAGATGTGGGAGGACCAGGGAGAGTTTGTCTGAAGAGGAGACATTTAGTTGCCTTAAAGCGTATTCCAGTCAGACAACTTTTTCACCTTTTTTTAAACAATCATGACTTCTCTTTGCTTTTTGCCTTTGAGATCTTTGGGGCGTCTTTCTCTCTGTCAGGTAGCTGTTTGAGTATATTCCAAAGGCACCTTCTCTGGAATGACATCCTTTCCTTCCCCGTCAGTTGGTTGTTTGTTTCCTTGAACATACTTCAAATTCAGCATGTATCACACTAGAGTCTAGCTCTAGGTCTGTTTGCCTCTCACTGTGACCAGACTGTGATGTCCTTGAAAAACAAAAAAAAAGACAGTCTTACTAATTTTTTGTTGTTGTCTTATAGTGGACTCCATGCCCAATGTGGGACTTGAATTCATGACCCCAAGATCAAGAGTCACATGCTCTATCACTTGAGCCAACCAGGTGCCCGTATTTTTGAACTGTCCTTCATTCTCTAGGTGGCATGACCAGAATATCATAGTACTCAGAATAGTTTTGTTAAATGAAGACTTATCTGCCTATTTACAAAAGAAAGTGCGGGGCACCTCGGTGGCTCAGTCAGTTGAGCATCCAACTTTGGCTCAGGTCAGGATCTCACAGTTCGTGGGTTCGCGCCCTGCATGGGGCTCATGCGCGGCTCTGTGCTGACAGCTCAGAGCCTGGAGCCTGCTTCGGATTCTATGTCTCCCTCTCTCTCTGCCCCTCCCCTGCTCACGCTCTGTCTGTCTGTCTCTCTCTGAAATAAATATTAAAAAAAATTGTAAGACAAGGGGCCCTTCTGATTCAGAATAAAGTTATTCAGGCTATTATTTATAGAATCTATCACGGTGCTCTGCAGAAAGTACATGTTCAATAATTACTAAGTATTTGATGTGTCTGGCAGTGAAATATCTGAAGTAATGTAGAATAAGGAAACATTATATCTACTTCTGTGATAAATTAAGATTTTCATGTCTAACTGAGTGTCGGAGCTCTGGATCAGACATGATAAATATTAAGAATTGTTGGTCATAGAGCTAGTATTGAGGATTTCCATTCTTTCCTGGGTCAGGCCTTGGATCGAGAATCTTATGCACAGTGAAGACAGCAAGCTATGGTGCTGTTGAGAGCAGGATGCATGGTCAATGAGAGGTGCTGCCAAAAATGTAGCATTCTAGTTCATACCTGGCTAAAGGCCCAGCAATCTATTTTGTACTTGCTCCTGGTTCCATCTTGCTAGGTGCACCATGCAGCCATTTCCTCTCTGTGGTTGTGTCTCTTTACTGGGGTCATAGCTTTCTCTTTTACCTCTTTCTCCTAGGACTGTTTACCTCCAGCAGAGGGGGATTGTTGTGGTTCGGTGAGGAGTATGGTGTTGAGGTGAGAGGAGTCCTCACTCCTTTTCTTTCTTTTGTTCTTAGCATGACTACCCTTTTACCAGAGGTTGAAGCTTTTGTACGAGAGTTAGAAAGATTCATAGCCAATGCGTATTTTCCATCATGCCTAATCCCTCTCCAGAGGAAATGATTACAGAACCCCTATTGGCATGAGTTAAGAGGAAGGGAAAGGGGGAAAATACATGGAGAGATAAACAAAACAAAACAAAACAAAAACAACAGCAAAGATTGATATCTCGGAATACTGTCCTGGTCACAGTAGTCCCCTGGTCTCTTTGGATCTCATCAAAATTGTGAGAATTAAAGGGCAGAGTACATGTAAGGGGTTTAGAATAGTTTTTGGAAGGTACACAGTGAGTGCTTCATTAATGTTAGGTGTCATTATCCAGGGCTCCTTCACTCGGGGAAGGACCTTGGTTTCTGCCCCAAATCGGATCCTCTAGGACAATCACTCCCACACTCAAAAGTAGCTCCAAACTCTGAGTGATATATTCCCTATGCTTCGTTAGGACAGTTCAGTCTGGATGCTGAGTCATTTCTGGTCTCCCTAGGGGTGGGGTTGCCACGGTACCCCTCAGGCATTCTCTTACCTCCCCAATATTGGTTTTCCTCTCAGCCTCACTTTGAATCCCCAAGAAGCTCAGTAGCCGCTCCAGGTGATAATCTTCTCCAGCTACATCCCTTCCCAATACTGGCTTGTGTTCAGGTGTTGTTACTGACCTTCCTGGGAGCCCTGGGACTAGATAATTACATTGAAATTCAGAAGCAGTATGCAATTTTTGGCACTGACGTCTTTAATTAAATTCAACAAGCGTTTATTGAGCACCTAGAGCATGTAAAGTACAGCTCCTTTAAATACATGTGGTCCTTAACAATTTAGCCTGTTTTACTCACTCAATTTGGATTAATGTTGATCCATCCTTGAGTTTTATGAAGAACAAATATTAAAATAAAAAACTGTTTGCACACTTCTTTGCAAATATGAACGTCTGATGTGAATTATTCTTGCTACAGTATTAGTATTAATTGCAATAACAAAACTACCGCTTCCCAGGCAGGCGGTAGAGAGCAGCCGTAAGGCCAACGGGAGTCAGACGGAAGAGGTCAGGGGAGGTGCCTGCAGCACGTCCGGCCCAGAAGGGGAGGAGCCTCGAGGAATGTACCCAAACCCCGCCCCCTATCCCTCCCTCTCCGTTGGTGCGGCGTAGGCGGTTACCATGGCGATGACGTCTAGAGGGCGGGGCGGGGCGGGGCTATGGAGAGGAGGAGGAAGATGGCGGGAGGGCGGCTCTGAGGAGACCTCGGCGGCGGCGGAGGAGGAGAGAAGCGCAGCGCCGTGCCGCGCCGGGGCCCATGTGGGGAGGAGTCGGAGTCGCTGTTGCCGCCGCCGCCGCCGCCGCCAGTAACTGCTGGACCGGAGTGGGAGTGAGGGGGAAACGGCAGGATGAAGTTCGCCGAGCACCTCTCCGCGCACATCACTCCCGAGTGGAGGAAGCAATACATCCAGTATGAGGTACCGGCAGCAGCTGGGGTGTGGGAGGACTCGGAGGGGCCACCATGTCTCCAGTGCAGACCTCCGCTGCCGCCTTCCGCTCCTGCTGCCTCCCCGCGCCTGGGCGGACTTTGACCTGGTGCCGCGGGGAGCCACTGCGGCATCCCCGCCGCGGCTGGCCCCCTCTGGGCCCCGCTGACCTTCCCCTCCCCCGCAGCCCCGCTGCCGCCGGGGTAACGGATATGCAGGCGGCGGGCCGGGAGGGAGGGCACAGCTCCGCCGGGGCTGGGGAATAGTGGTGGGAGGGCGAGCCGCAGGTGGGGGGGTCGGGGTGGGAGGGCAGCCCGGGGTCGCGGCCGTTCGGCGCTAATCCCCTCCGCCCCACTCACTCTGACCTCTCGTCCCCACCCTGGGCGAGCGCCCCCTCGCCAAGGTTAGGTTTTGTTTCTCTCTGCTCACCTCTCACCAAGGAATCTTCTCTTCCGAGATAAGCCCCTTTAGCGATTTTCTTCATTCCACGGAGCCCTTCCGCTTTTCCCCACTTGCCCACTGTTGACAAAGGCTTTGTAACAGGGTCGAAATTTGATTTAAATGTGTATTACGGATGCAGTGGTTACTGTATGCAAACGTATTGTAATCATCTGTTCGGTTTTGCTAATAAGACGGGGACAGCCTTTTTACTGATTGCATGAAGTATACAAAGTAATCACATCTCTGGTTTTGACTGTCCTGTTGTTTTGGAACGAAGTGAAGGAGGAAGAGGAAGAAGCGTAGAGAAGAGAATAACTAAATTTTTCAGATTTTCTTTTCTAAAATTTTTGTTAGCGAGGGAGAAAAGTACTGTATTGTAAACAATGTACTTTTAAGACATACCTGTGTGTTGTAGATATCATAGCCCCCTCCCTCCCCAGTTTCTGTTGGTAACGTCTCCTGGAGGGTATTCAATAGCTACTGATTAGGAACCTCACATTAATATAGGGAAAAGTACAGGTAATGAACCCGTGTATATTTTCAAAAGGCAAGATACCTGAAGAGCTTTAAGCACTGCAATAGGTTATTCTCAGTAGCTGGCCATTCAGCTCCTGGATAAAGAAAGACTTATCTGTAACCTCCAGGAATTCACATCTGTGTATGTGCGGGAACAAAGAGTGTAAAATCAATACGAACTCAAATATGTTAGCTACATTTTATGAATTAAAATATTTTAGCTCTCTAATTTCTATTTAAGTTCAGTGATAGGATGTTTAGGCAATAGCACAAGTTTATTTTTCATATAGCAGTTGTAATAATTGGGGAAGACAGGGAAAGAGATGTAGGTAAACAGAACCTTGAAGACTGTATAATAAATTCACCTTGTAATGTACAGTATTTGATTATTGCCAGAATTGAAACACCCAGAATTATTGACGCTTTCTTTCACTTCATTTTCTTATAGTGTTTTGTGGCTACATTTTGTAAGAATAAAATAAGGGACTAGCTTTTCAGCCTGTGGAGTTTCTGATTTATTGTTTCTAATAACATTCGGTCAGTTTTAAAACCTTGGCTAGAGTCCAGATGATGGTTTTTATTGAAAGGAGGGCATTGGTCTTTCATCTTGTAGTAGTAATTTTCAGCACCACTGCCAGTTCTTCAGAGAGGCATAGGAATAGCATGCTGAAGCAACATCTTCCACTTTTTATATAGTATGGAAGGCTCGATTTGGGCAAAAGTAATAGTGACTGGTTGTATGCTGTGATTAATTTTAAGTATTACAGCACTTAATGTTCATAGAATTGTATTAATTTGGAAGAGCTGGGGCTGGAAGGGGAAACATAAGATGTAGTTTGAAAATGCAATTACCTCTTGATTTGTAATGTCAGCTTTGTGGCTGGAGTAACCGCAGTAATTCTGGGACTCCTCATTCATATATTCCGTTTGGATACTAACCCCAGTTGGGTTGGTTACTCTAGGTTGGTTACAGAGGGACAAAATTCCCCAGCACATGTGTGACTGCCTTATCTTTCCTGGGGCAATTATAAGGAATTACAAAAATTCATTTATCGTGGATAATTGAAATTTTATTCTGCAGAGTCCCTACTACCTAACTCCTGTCCCAGATAAACTCATTGTTTGGTAGGCATAATTAAATAAGGGGCATTTTTCTTTGTGAATTGGAGCCATTAAAGGCATTTTTTATAGGGTTGGGGGTTGGTGTTGCTATATTGTTTCTCAAGAGCTGGTGCTGTTCCTTTGAAAATATTTAAAGAGGCATAAATAAGAGTTTTCAGAGTCTAGGCATTTTGGCAACTTAAAAACTTTGGGGAAAAATGACATCCTAAAAGATGTTAGCTATTGCTAGAGAAAGAATCTTCTTACAATGCAGTAACATGTAGTTTCTCATATATGAACATCATGCTCTTGAAACACTGTTAATGCAATAGACACTTGAATTTGTTTTTCAAGCACTAGTGGTGAAATTTTAGGGTATTACTCCTGATGTCTAGACTATGGTGCTTTCTAGAGCTGTGAACCATGATGAACTGTTCAGCTTCCTTGATTTTTATGTCATTTCACTACATTTAATATACACTAAATTATACTAGAAATAAGCAGAACATTAGATAGAAACTGAAAATTTTGTTTTACATCTATAATTATGTGTATTATTGTGTGTAGATGGCCACACAATAAATGCTAGTTATTATATATGTTAGCCATGAGACCCTGGGGACAATCTTTTTATCTTTCCAGGTCTCTTTCTTTTTCCATAAGATAAGAATATAGGGTTAGAGAGCTTTTCAAGGTTCATTGTGGTTCATAGGTTTTTGTTTGTTTAAGAGAGAGAGAGCATGCCAGTGGGGAGAGGGGCACAGGGAGAGGGGCAGGAAGAGGTAGAGACGGAGAAAATGAGAGAGAATCTTTAAAAATATTTTTTTAATGTTTTATTTATTTTTGAGAGAGAGAGCGAGAGCGAGCGTGTGAGCAGGGGAAGGTCAGAGAGAGAGGGAGACACAGACTCCGAAGACAGGCTCCATCCAGGCTCTGAGCTGTCAGCACAGAGCCCAACGCGGGCCTCAAACCCACGAATGTGAGATCATGACCTGAGCCAAAGTTGGACGCTTAACCGACTGAGCCACCCAGGCGCCCCAAAAGAGAATCTTAATAAACAGGTTCCACGCTTAGCATGGAGTCTGATGTGGGATCATGACCTGAACTGAAATCAAGAATTGGATGCTCAACTGACTGAGCCACCCAGGCACCCTGTTCGTAGGCTTTTTTGTTTAAGTTTATTTATTTATTTTGAGAGAGAGAGATGGTGTGTACGTGAGAGAGAGACAGAGACAGAGAGAGAGAGAGGGAGAGAATCCCAGGCAGGCTCCTTGCTGCCAGCACAGAGCCCAGTGTGGGGCTTGAACTCATGAACCATGAGATCATGACCTGAGTCAGGATCAAAGTCAGACCACCTAATCAACTGAGCCATTCAGGTACCCCCATAGTTTTTTATTGAACTTTTAATGGTGTTTGCTTTTTGGAATGTTAAAATTATTATTAATGTTATTTACTCATCAATACTCTAAAAATTATTAGAGTTTCTAATTCAGAAATAAATTGTGGAGTTCATAAACTCAATTTTCATAGGTAGAACAATAAAGCATAAAAGAGAGCAATAAGGAGAAACCATATAAAGAAAATCTATTTGATCCATTTGTGAGTAGCTTTTATAGAGAATAAACACAAATGAGCAGAGACCATCCCTGTTTCCAGTAATCTATTTGAGTGTAAATCTTGGCATAGAAAATAGAACATCAATAAATCTTTATAAGAGCACTTAAAAAAATTTAGAATCACTGATTGCAATTTTAGAGCTCTGTAATTGTTTAATCAAAATTAACAGACCAGTTTCAACCACATAGACTAGTATGACCATGTTAATATTTTACAGAATATTAGCAAAAGAAGGAAATATATTTGGTGCCTTAGGCTGCTGACTTGTGTTTTCATCCCTAGGGTCTTGTGCTGCTTTGGTTTCTCAGGAATTAGGAATAGTTTTTCCAGTGTATACTGTAGTTTAATAAGCTAAAATAATGAGGTATCTAAATTTCAGGATTTTAGAGTTTAAGGGGAATTTGAACACCATCTACCTCTTTGTTTTTTCAGATAAGGAAAAAAAGATCGAGAGTGGTTAAGTCATTTGTCCAGGATCACATATAGATAGTCCTTTGAGCATAGATGTGTAAGCACTGGGAATCAGGTCACCCTAGCTGTGTGACCCTGATGAAATTACTTCCTCTTTCTGGGCTTTAGGTTCTTTGTTTGTAAGGTGAGAGAGCTGGACTTAATGGTTTCTAAACTCACAGGGCTATATTTTCTGAGGACCCATCTAGCTTTACATTTCTGTTTTTTTTAATGGCTTAATTATATTTGACATATGAAGAAGATAGAACTTAAATTTAGGACTATTAATAGCATCTTTTTAAATTAAGGTTCTTTCAGAAAATTTTGATGAGATTTTAATCTGGGAATGGAAAGCTGACCCAATGAAACTTTTATTTAACTTAAATAAAAGGTGATAGTCATGGACTAATTTTTTTTGCAGGATTTGGAAAAGGAGAGATACATAAACTGTACATCCCTATTTTCAATTGTAAGGAAACATTGCCCTGACATTATTGTGATTTTCATTTAAAGAAGTATCCCATGAGAATGCTTGTGTTGCAGGCTTCAATTTCCCAAAGGTATTATGTTGATTAGTTAGGGTTAACTTGTCTTGCTAGAACTTGTTTGAAATTTCCAGTTTGGCCACCCGATGGGGCACAAACCACTTTTTCTTTCAGGCACTTCTGCAAATGAAAGTACAGTAGAGCATATTTAAGATGACACTTGTAAATGATTGTGTTCATAAGATGCCTGGCATTTACCATTGTTTCCTAAATGAGTGAATGAATGTTATATAAGAGAGGGACCTATTACTACTCTTTATTATATTTGTATAAATAAGTGTGTTAGGATGAGTATCCTGGAAAGATTATACTTGTCCATCC